TAAAGGATGATTCCATAGGAAAGATTGAAAAAAATAAAAAAAAATGTGATAAGAAAAAGGAACAACGATGGGTAGCAAACGCTCATGTATGGCGGCGAATGATTTCAAGATGAGCCCAGGTTCCAAACCAAGCTATGCTTGACTGATTAATTGCAAAGGAATCGGCTCACATGGAAAGTTCCTTCACGTTATGCGCATACGTCGTGATCTTTCAGCCCAACAACCGAAGGAGCCTAGTCGTGGAACAAACAAGGACCACATCTGTGGCCGACTGTCGCGTTGTGCCATTTGAGAAATTTTACAACCTCCACTTTGGGGCTCCGACACGACCAGCCTCGACCTCCGCCAGCAGCCTGGGATCGGTCTCTTCATTCGAACCCCTCTCACCGCTCCACATCACCAACCTTACCCCGTGCCGTTTCTATTGTATAACACTCTGCTCTGAGACCAGTCAACATACTCCAACTCCGACCTCAAGTTTTCCTAGAACTGCCGTCGAAAGAGAGAGGGGAAGACACACTGCTCACATAATGATTCAGTTCTCCCGATGACTTTAGGTGGGAGTATCAGCATGAAGAGCGGTATATGACTCAAAACGGCAGATTCACTAATTACGCTCACTTCATGCGTTTCCCGAGCTAATTGTAAAAAAAACTGATGAAGTTGTGGATGCCGAATTGACTAAAAAATGAAGAAAAAAGAAGGAAAGAAACCGTCGATGAAGCATAAAATTAAATTCCCCTTGATAAATGAAGGGCAGGGCCATACGAGTTGTACGAGATGCCTGCTCCAAAGCTCAACTAAACTTGCCCGTATTTGAATTAGCCGCTACGCCGTATGCCGTAATCCACGTTGCGTGTCATGGGGTGTGCGCTACGTAACTCGTCCAAATGCTAAGATTAGTCGCCAAATGCTGACTTTGTAAGACCCTAGCGCCATTGTCGCGCACTTTCGAGCCGCGACAACGGCACATCTGTGCTACTCGTGGGCTACTCTATCCCACCCACTGAATAGATTCTTCGACACGTCTTCTGCTGGGGATGTTGCTTTGATGACCCCCTTCACTACCACATGATCATCTCCTGCTTTTCGGTAATTCTGAAAGCTGCCAAAATGATTCTCATGTCCGGGTTTCATTTATAAGCCTATCAATATGCAAAATCGTTTTGGCAAAGCCCCCATATTCTCATCGAACTATCCATGACCACAAGAAATGAGCACATCTGGAGCAAAATAACTGGGAAATCAATAAGTTATCACACAATTCTTACCAAAATGGGGAAATTGCTGATGATACTGCACAGCACATTTGGCGCTTGCAACTAGCGGTCCAGATGGATTTAGCCGGTCGAAGAAAACCTATGGAAATCCATCAGCATCATACACAAAGAGCAGTAAGACTGATAGTGACCCACCTTTGCCGCAGAATGATCTCCACCACGAACGAGGCGAACCGTACAAAGGATGTTTCGCGCTTTTGGGAACACACGCTGACTGTCATACCTATAAGAACAGGTATACTCAAACATGGTAGAGGGAACCACTAATATATTAATTTATGAATATTCTTACTTCAAACTTAATGGATAAATGTAGAGCAGGTTGAAGAGCTGCGAATATGGCTCAGTAATTGGATCTCCAAAAGTTTGCAGTTCGAACAACGGTGGCACTGGACTGTCACTCGAGAGCTTCCAAGGTTTCAACGCGAAAAACGAAGGATTCACTCGAACTAGAACAAGAGAGAAATTCCATAAAGAAACAGAGGTTTCAGTAAACAGTACTTCTATCCAACATAATGTAAAAGAAACTCACACTGTAGTTCATCTTCTGAAGACAAAACATCGATTTTGACTGCCATTGAAGAGTTGGGCAAAACCGACTTGCCAGCTTTCTCCAACCTTATAAATGATAGATAGTAGTGTAAACAGAAATAAATGACAAGAAACAGTCAGATGAGATCCCAAATTTTCATACTGATGGTCACTGAGTGAAGAAAGAATTAACGAAAAACATCGAATTCACTTTGCAAAATCGTTGAGATATTTCTGAAGATCCTGGTCGACAAGTCTGTTGTTATCGCATCGAAATAACTGCATAGTGCTGAATCCTTTGGTAATTCGCGAATTTGATGACTCCTTAGTGATATTTTCTTCAAGTAATGGTCTGGAAAGAAACCGCTTGACCAATGCAGAAAAACGAAAATTATCTTATGTAACGAAAATGCCAACCTAGCTGCCCACGCGAATCGCTGCCTATACTTGGAAAGGCGAGCCGAAGAAGACTGAATCAGCTTTTGTAGCTTCACTGTAGCTTTAACGTCCCCACTTGATCTACAAATTCAGCAGTGACAAGCGATATTCATCAGCTTTAAATACAACAACTGAGCCTTCGGTTGGTATACGCTAATCGGAGACGTTTTTAGTATAAAACACATACTTCATGTATAAATCTCCTGAATAATCCAATGAAAGCATGCGATCGATACAGCAAACAAGCCAGAGATCTTTCGGTGCATTGCAAGTGGTAAACATCATCTAGAACGGCGCAATGTGAGTAAGGAGAAACGAAGAGTAATCGTTTTAGAAGTTTTGGGAGCTTTGCAAGTGCTGCCTTATGTCTACCGTCGCCTCGAGCCAGGAGCGAAATCCAAAAGCATTGTTAATCGCTTAAATAATCGACTTCGTATGTTTTCGCAAGCAGTTAAAAAGTACTGAAGCGCGCTAGAAAAAATGATGCGCATGTTATCCATAACGTCAAATTTTGAAATAATCAAAGCACAATCCTCTTTCGGTGCAGCGCCTCCTCGAAAAAAAAAGCACTTCTGTTATCAGCAATCATAGCAAAATGTTCAAAACATGTAGACCACATATACTTGATACGAACACAACGCGAAGCCAAATTTCCAGGTTATTTTAGCAACGGCATTAGTTACGCGATACATTTCGAGGTTAATAAGCGGTAGTAAAAAAAAACAATGTTTTACAGATTAACAAGTACTGTTATGAGAGTAAGTAAAAAAAAAGCTAAGAGAATGGAATGCTTTATAAAAAGGAATAAAACAAGAAAATGGAGCGAACCTGAGTAGCTGTTCTTGAAGTTAACTGAGCTCGACTAACACCAAAGGTTTTCGTGAAATCGTCTGAAACATGCACCTTCATTCATTTGCGAATTTGCCATGAGATGAGATGAGGCGTTAAAAAACATTGCAGCATAACCCTTAAATAAGCACCTTCTCCATTGGCGTCGACGGTTTCGTTTGTCTTCTCACTGCAGTCGAGTTGGAATTCCTCCGATACGCGCTTTCCTTGGGAAGCATCGAATACGAAATTTGTTACATAAAAGGGTTCGATCTGAAGTACAACAGCTTAGTTCAGAGCAACGAAACTAAGGAGCGCACTACTACGCATGAAAAAAACTATTACCTGCTGAGAAATACCGGGAGCAACCTCTAGCTTGAGGTCCAACTTTTTGAACTCGATTAGAAAGCGTATAATAGAAGTGTGAGAGTGTCTTCTAGTTGACGAATATGAAGAAAGTCCACCACTAATCACACTCAACGGTTCGCATACCGGCTTTTGTAATGGCTGAGTAACAAGATATTTATAAACTTTAGCAAACTGAGACATAAGTATCATAAATGAGATTCGAAAGAATGACCACTCACAAACAGATTAGAATATAATGAGAAAATGTTCTTCCTATCTACAATGGGAGGCTGAAGAGCCTTCGCAACTGCACGCTGACCCCTCCATATAAGAGATTCTTTACCTGAAATGTGAGAACTCTTCTGATCTTGCATTTGCTGAAACATTCTAGAGAAATGAACCTATTGCAAAACACCTACCAGAATCCGAACTACCTATACTTGACGAGTCTGGCTCGTTAGTGGTCTTACTAATCGAATCATCATGATGAGATCCCAATGACAGAGTATCGCCTGAACGCTATGACATTTCCCGAATAAGAGAGATGTCAGTGGTTTCGGAATACCTTTTGATACAAAAGATAGTGCACGCTGAAGAGCGAGAAACCAGTTCGAAAGATCCTCGTCCTCTTCAAAGGCCAACGTCAATGAACGCACTTCTGCCCGTTCTTTTGATGCCCGTGATGGTTTGATCTAAGAATGACTGCGAAATAAGATAGGTATAGAACAAGAAGCACGTGCACAAAAAGACCAAAAATGAAGTAAATAAGAGAACTTCTGTTTCAGTGAATTTGTGATATTTTTCCTGAAGAATTCAATCAGAAACAAAACACCGAAACCAAAATACTTAAAAACTTCTGTACCAAAGAATCAAGTCGAAAAAGTAGAAATCGCTCACCTCTAACACAGTCCTGCCCTTTCTCATGGAACGCAGCTGAGCAGACTGAACGAGCATTTGCGGTCGCTTCGGCAATGTATCTCGGGTTTTCCTGATATCCACAGCAACTTCTCCGGAGCCCAGCTGTTTCACCGTACAGTACCGCCGTTTAGCTGACTACAACACAGGATAATAAATCAGACTTACCAGCGTACATGGCATTAGACCTTACACTACCTTGAAATTGTCCAAAAGTCCTGTCTCACTTAACACCATCACAAAACCCTCCTTAATAACGTCAGACACGGAAGCGTTCTCCATTACCTGAATCTGGCCGATTGAATTACAAAACGATGAAAACCCTTAAATTTGTGTTCACTCAACCGCTCTTTCCTCCTCTGTGACCATATCACATTCGAACAGTAATGATGACAACATCTCGTCAGTTTCAACTGCTCTAAATCAATTGATATTATCAGCAAACGAGACTCCGTTTCTACACCGTAGACAAGAGCTATGGAAGGAGGAGTTCAAAAAGCTAGACCTCTCCCTACTTGCCACAGGCGACGGAAGGAGGTTCTGTTTAACCCAGCACCTACAGACAGTGATGGAGGTGAAATAAGCCAAGACGAACTAATCGCAGTGAGAAGAAGAATAAGAATCACAAGAATTTATGCTCCTTCGTGAATTCCATTGCAATAGGAAATTGAGTCTCAGCAATGTTTAGCGGTATAGAACGAAAAGACTAGGTTGATTCTGCTTCGATTCCTTTCCCAAGTGTGGCACTTTAAGGGAAAAATCCTAAGAAGCACTACGAGTATAAGCTCTCAGTACTTCAACAAGTGAAATCATGACCGTTGACAATAGAATGATTATGAGGATATGGACAAGACATTTTAAAACAATCTTTGCACAAAAATTGAAATCGAGAAAGAGTTGAACTTTGTAAGTCCACTACATTGTCATAAGCTTATCGGTGGTTAATAAACTAAAATAATAAGGAAAAGTTCGAAGAGACAGCGCACAAAAGGGAAGCTGAGCTGTGGCTTTTATGTGTATTGTGTTGTGACCTGCTGTTTTGTGACTTATTTACAAAATATCACACATGCTCTCCCTTGTTAACTGCTCAAAAGCTTTAGGACATTGCCGTTTTTGGCATGACTTCTCTTGTTAACAACAAATCCCCCACCTTACAAAATTAAACCCCAAAACTCACATATTCAGCTGTAAACCCGTTTTTAAAAGGAGGTTTCCTACTAATATTCTTACTGTTCGGGTGCGCGACAAGAGGCCCGTCGCGCGACAAGAAAGCCGAGTCAGCAGATGAGTGCAGTCGCAGCGCGTACTGTAGGATTTCGCGTCAAGTTAAATAGAATGTACCATTGTACGTCCTACATCGCACAGCACGCGCTGCGACTCGTCCGCTGACTCTGCCTTCTTGCCGCGCGACGGGCCTCCTGTCGGGTACCACCAGCTGTTCGACTGTTCAAACGCGAGAAATTAAGTATTAGCTGCCACTCATAAGCATGGCTACCACAATAAACTGAACAGAAAGCGATAATGACTGAAAACGAAGAAAACCCACTCGTCATTGACGCAGTCATAATCACCGGCAAATTTCGTGTAATTAAACGAAATACTGCGCTTTGGAGAAATGAAACTTTTCACGGCATCTCGAGTCAGAAGCCAAGTAGTGTCGGCAATATCCTTCTGGTTAACCATTGGAATGACAGTCTGAGACTCCGTGACTTCTACCAATTCCTGCAAACACTACTACTGATTCTAGAGTGGTGGCAAAACTGGAAACTGAATAACACAGACAAATATGTTTCGTGGAAAGATTATAAATACCTCCATGTCATCTCTAGGGAACATAAGCAATTCCCGTTGAGGATCATTCTCCAAGAGTATAGCCTTTTCAGTGATGAATTTCTCGTAATCCACAGGCTCAACGGGTGTGACTCGCCGCTGAAGAAGTCAGATTGCGAAACGCAAAAATTCTAAAAGTGTGCACAGAAAACCAACGCTGGTATTGCGTGCAGAAACCACACTTCGAACGGCCTCCCTCGCCTCTCGCGCAAGTCCTGGTCGACCAACACCGGCGGTAAATCTGCAAAGCATAACTACTACACGCGAGAAATGATAGGCAAACTGAAAACCGGGTCTCATCCAATATGAAAGGGGCATGTGGTGCGACTATTCATATCATCCTAGAGTATTATTCCTATCCCAGCAAAAATTGGAATTTCTGTAGGCGACAGCTAGTGTCGCACCACCGCCTCTCCCCTTAGTGGATAAAACCGCGAATGAAAAAGTGCTGAGCTGAAAAACAGCACCCCTGGGCTCTTGGGCGCAATGTTCCTGTAAAGAGGGGGGGGGGCAGCCTGCACGAAAGCCATTAGGACTAAGCCTTACAGAGAGCAACGAATTCCGAACAGAATTACGTACCTCGGAATCCCTTTTCTCCTCTAAGGCGTAGTCCTAGAACTGATAGTTTTCGTAAATCTGAAGCAATGTTACGGGCTGCCCCCCTCCGCGGAGCCACATCGCGCCCATTTTTACAATAAAAGAAAAAATGTTATCTGATGAGAAATTTCTGACTTCCGAAGAGGAAAAGCTCCCGATCTGCTGCCGGTTGTGCTGTCCCTGACGAGAGTTGAGGCACTAGATCCTCCCGAAATGTCAGAACGGCGATCATCTACGCTAGTACGAGCGGACATTAACGAACGCATTAGTAAAGAATCATAGTAGCATTGGACCCTGCAACAGAAGAGTTCTTCCTTTTGAAAATCGTTATTCCGAAAGAAAAACGCCTGATCACAAACGAAATACAGAACCATCAACCAAAAAACACAACAAATAAGAGAAACTTCAAAGGCATCTTCGCGTGTATTGGCGTCAAAGAAAAAATAGCTGTTGGATGCAGACGAAGTGAAGGATTTGACGGAATTGACTTTTGGAGCGCGGCTGCAATAGCGCGGCAATATTTTAGCCGATGAAGTTTTACAATGGATGTTAGGGCCGTGCTGCGGAATAACAACGGATCTGCTGAGCCAGATGGTCAAGCTATATGCGCTACACATGGGTCAAGTTTGGTTGGGAGAGGCACCGCGGCGCAAGTTCGTCCCAGCAACATTGATCCAATTTCCAGAGAGGGAGGAAAATGCGGGGTGGGTGACCACTTTGGTTGGGTAAGAAGAGGGTTAAGCGGGACCTAAAACATTTTTGATAGATGTTTTTGTCGTGGTTTTGAAGGCCTTGAGGGCTCTGTGTCACTGTGCCCCCCTCTCTTCCTCTAACTCCCAACTATTGCATGCTTGAGCCTACACATGTCGCCTTGCCTCTTGAGTTTAGTGCTAATTTTGTTAGACTGGTCCCAAATTTCATGGGGAGCTGAACAACAGAGTTCGCCGAGGGCTTGCAACGGTGGGCCACGACCATGGCTACGATCAGGGCCAAGCGTTCGTTGTCCAAAGATCAAACGAAGGGTGTCGTATTGGCCAGGGAAGGGGTCGGAGGATCAAGGTCAGTAACGGGGAATTTGAAGGTTCAATGCCCGTAGCGAGATCCAGAGTGAATAAGAACGAATGTACCACTTGCGCTAGGTGACCACGAGCGATACTCCAGAGTAGAAGATCCTACTGAAAGCTTCATATTCCAGTGAGCTCGAGTAGAGAGACCTTCAAAAGGATTGCGATGTTTCCCGACAAAATCGAAGTGGAAGGAAGTGCACGATGCGTGCAAATGATTCGATTCCTAGTACTGAATTCTGGGTGAAGGAGGCATCATTTCAAAAGGACTTCAAGGGAAGTCAGTACATTTGTTAGGCATTGTATAGGAGTACTTTCAATGGTTTGTACCTCCCCATTGTACCAGTTCTGAAGAAACTGATGGCGTTTGAAGGTTAAAAACACGCCTTTCTATACAGGCAGACAGGCCCAAAAATCATAGAGGAAAAAACGGAACATAAGGGTCTTTTTTCGGAAGGGTGATTTTTTCAAAAAAAGACTCCAGCACTTCGACCGGAAGCTCTAAACTCGTAATTTTAATCAAGCCTTACAGACTTACAGAAATGTTTGTGAAGAAAGATGCGAAACATTTCGAATATCTGAAAACCGGCGCGTTTTTTTTAAAAAATCAACATACAAACCTAAAAACTAACACGGAATGTTTTTCGAGTGAATTTCCTAAGGAGTCAAAATTCCCGTAGAAAGCTCTAATCTCGTAGTTTCTACTGGTCTGAATTATTCTGCAAGACGTTGGTTTGATGAATGCTGAATGCTGGCTAAGTCGCAAGTGCACAAAAAGGCGACAAATGTGCGATTTTAGAGGAATCAAGCGGAGGTTTGGGGAACGAAAAAAGGACTGGAAGTTCCCTGAAGTGCAGGATGTCCCATAGTTTTTGCAACAAACTTCGCCCGTCATTTTTATTGACAGTTACTGGATTTTTCTTTGACAATTGGCGCATCATTACTTTCCACGTATTCCTATGAATAGGTCTGTAAAACTTTATGGCTTTCATTTTTATGCTTTCTAATTCAGGGATGTCGTTCCACTTAAATAAAACAGCTGATTTCCTTCCCTGCACGCGGTGATTCATCTCCCGAAACGAATTACATTTTCTCTTGTAAGGTTGCCACTGGCGTCCACAATCTGCAGGGCACAGAAGAAAATGAGTCAAGCCGACACTCGTGCTACTGCGACGCTGCGTACGACTTCGGTTGATTCGATTCAAGAGAGCTGCGTGAAGAAACGAGTCGATCACATACAAACAAGAGAAAGATGCTAGAACTGCGAGTTCCTTGCACGACCATGTGGGACATTGTCTAACAAGAACTTGACTTGCATACTTACAGCGTGTTTCAAAAGTATAGGGGCAACCTGAAAACTGCTATTCTGGGTTGGGATGGAGTATCTATGAATTGGTATTAGTGGTTGTTGAGTTCAGCATGCAATGAAACCACAGTACACTGTACTTCAGGAAGCAATATGGGCTAGAAACATTTTTTTTTATAAGAAAGTTAAATGTCCCCTGTTTCAAAAGTATAGGGGCACGTGGGCGAGAGATCCGAAAAGAAAACTTTGCGCTTCCCACCAATCAGGGTCAAGCGTGCGTTGAGGAATCCTCGACACGTCACAGGGGGGGGGTCGTATTGGCCCGCTGGGAGGAAGAGATCGGGCCGGATTGATGCAGTAGGATCATCACCGTCGGAGGACAAACATCAAGGATCGAGTCAGGCCAGAGGATTTCCAATAACAATGTTATTCGCCCACATAAAATCTTCGTGATCAGAGGTGTCCGTAGCAATTCTTAGTTACTTCAGTGTTTTATCACCACACAAGTTAAAGAATCTGAAATTTGCACGTTTTCCAAGGGATATTTTATCTTTCAAGTGAGTCCTCGAATCTGAAGGGATGTGAAGCACACGGCGCATCCCAGAGTGGGCCCAGTTGTTGCGCGCGCTTCAACTACGGCTTTCTGAAGAAAGGATTTCAACTTGGAAAAAATCAAGAGTATCTGAAAGGGTCCGTGTGAAATTGCAGGGAGGAGTGCACCATTCAACAGGAAACGCAGTCTTCAGCTTCAAATTCATAAGCATGTAACCTTTAAAGATGAGATATGCTGAAAAATTTTACACTCCTTCGAAAGAGATGAGCACTAGGATTCCAAATCTGCTCCTATTTCAGTGTATGGTCGCCCCTGAAAGGAACTATATTAGTCGAAATAGTGCCTATGCAGCAAAAAAGTATGTACCTTTCGGCGGTACTCGGGCAAAATCCTCAACCATCGTCCTTTTCTTAAATACTTGAACTATCTTACCGTTTAGTGACGTTGTGAAAGAGGCAAATCTTTAGGATTTTATGATGAGATACAGGGTGCGCCAAAATTACGGAGACAGCACTTCCGCGCACTATTTGAACCACTATTCAAAGATGCTGTTTACTGCTGCGCTCATTTTGGTTTTGTTGTGTTGACCTGTTCATAATTATCTTGTTTGACCACCAATATGTATGATTGTTACGATGGCTGAGTGATTCTGCCGCTATTTCTAGATCACTGAACTTCAACTTTTTGAGAGTTTCCGGCACGCAAGAATTATCAGCGTTTTGGTTTTTACCTGGGTACCAATCATGGATCCACTAAACGCTCCAAGGAGTAAGGAACCGAATGCACTCATTCTGGATGGGAAGGCCGTGTTTCCGAGACGGCCACGAGCAATGTCAGCATGGTGCGCAACAGAATTTGGTGGCACTTCGCGCACTCGTTCCGCCGAATGTCACGAGAGATGGACATTAAGGAGATTACTTGAGAATTCCCAAGCAAATTGCCATCTTAAGATTTAAAAAACATTGTTTGATCTTTCATAAGGAAGGGATTTCCATAGGGCAAGGGTGGTGCTGAACTGGGTCAGAGCCAATTTTGTCGAATTCATCACTTTCAACGAGTTGGTCAGCATTTCAGATTCTATATAAATGGCTTACACTGTAGAATTGATTCTGCAAGCTGAAACTTGCATGGAACTTTACATTTTTGGGGATTATTTTGAAGAATTGCTTCAGAATACGTAGAACGGATTCTACGCACCTACCTTGCGTGCCACCGCCGATGGTTCCTCACTGCTTCTCAAGGCCCGTATAAGTGCCAACGAAGGAATTTCTGAGATTTGGCAGATGTTTACGATTCATTATTGAACAGTGAACGTTACTGCATTTTTGGCTTCCTGGAATTGTGGCGTGTTCATTCTAGGCGACTCGAAATCGCTGTCTCCGTAATTTTGGCGCACCCTGTATTAACTTTTGGCCTTGGTTTTATCACGTACGTGCTTGAGGAAATACAGTGGTGTGCAAAACTTAAAGGCAAATCCCGGGATTAGCCCGTCTAGTAGGAGGGATACCACGAGGGAAATTGTAAGGTCCGTACGTAACTGGATCACTCCAGCTTCGTCGCAAAAACTGCGCGGTTAGGGCGCTAATCCTTACGGGCCCGCAACCATCGACTCCCGTTCCAACGCTTCCCACCCACCGCGAGAGGTGGTGAGATCAGCGTGCATTGATGAGAGATCAGCGTGCTCTCTCAAACGACGTGCTCTCTCGCGTATTTTGTCTTCTTTGACCGCCCTTTCTCGCCATCGTACCACATCCGACCCTATTGAAGGTTAAGGCCTTAATTTCAGCGTTCCCAAAGATTTCTCTTGCTTTCCACTTTCAGGTCGTTCCGCAGCTAAGCTATCACTACAAAGCGCTGATAGCACCTGTTTAATCCCGGAGTTTGCCTTTAAGGACGAGATGGATAAATTGACATAACTTATTAACAATTCGATGGAATTGGATGAAACTGTGCAAGCGTACTGCTAAAAGCCTTACAGTCATGGACATGAACGTGGGCCTCATATACAGGGGTGGCCAAAAAAAAGAGACACTTGACTCCACATTTCAGACAGCATTAATCACACTTTGCTAGAATCAAATCGACTGCCCCCAACTCAGTATTGAAGAGCACATTCTAATCTATCTAAAGTTACATGACAGCCTTCTACACCGACGACATCAGAAGATTTTCCCACGGAAACATGGTTCACGGTACGAGCTCAACGAGGTCGTCGAGGTACCATAGACCATTACGACGTCCCTGAAACGCTGGTCAAAAGCGGTTTGCATAGTCACAGCTAATGTCTCT